TCGACAACCCTTTGTAACCGATCACAACTAATGCAAAACACTGCCCAAGACAGGAATCGAACCTGTGCCGCCACGGCCACAACGTGGAGTACTAACCACTGTACTACTTTCGCATATTTGAGATCAATTTTGAGAGGAAACAAAAAGCCGTACAAATTAGTCTGTTGAGTGTGTTGTGTTCAAGACCTCAAAAAGGAGGGGGGGGGGAGAGTGCTGCAAGGTTAAATGAGAGGACTTTGAGATAGAGCGAGAAACGCGCCTTCTAATGATATGTAAAGTGTTGTCATTTCTTGAAAGTAACTCTGAAATAATGCATCTGAGGGTGAGATTTCGGAATTGACGGAAACTTCCCAAACAGCCCAATATTTGTGATATGCTGTTCTGCTTCGCCTCTTATCACTATTTCGTACGTCTCAATGGACGTAGCTGTCACCACATATCCCTTCATGAGATTGTGGATCTCCGCTGGAATACCTGATGAGTTGTTTGTTGAAACGGCGAAGGCCAGCATTGAGATTCAGCGGTTCTTAGTCACATGGGAGAGTGAGTAGTTTGATGATCAGTACGTCAGGGTCACGGTTTCTCACTTTGATTCTAGGATGTTATGATTTATGTGAAGCTGCATCGCGAATCAGAATGCTTCAGCCTCGAGGGGATTCAGCAGTTATGCCAGAAGCCTTTTGTATATTGTAAAAATTCCATTTTATTTTACTGACCATCATAGTGCGGTAGAGGTTAGTCCTCCTTCTGCTGTTAGCTCCAGCTCCTTCCACTCTTGAAATCTTGAAGAGTATGGATTGGGGGGGGGGCCGTATTTCATCCTATTACGCATATTGATGGATTGCTTGGTGAGATTGTGGGATGGCGTCTAATTGCCCTATCTTACCGCCAGTTGTAGTGGTAATGTGTGGTAATACAATCCACTCGGGGGCCAGCGGTTGTGTATGTGAGGGGGGTGACAGAAGGCGGGGCGATGACCTCAGTCGTGGTGGGTGGCTAACCTCCTCCACACAGCTCTCCGCCCATCCCCCTTCCAGACCAACCAATACTTCGCCACACGCCTTCAAAATATTCGATCATCTTCGAGCGTTCTCTTTAAGGATTATTTACTTATTTACTCGCTTTTAATGGATCTCATTGATTCTTGCTCTTTTCCAATCATTTCGTACTAGTTGATATTTTGGGCTAATCGCAGTCTTGGTGCAATTCGTTGATTTATTTCGCAGGAATATCTATCTCTGTACTTTCACGGAGGCTAAGAATTCAAAGAATCGTTGTGTCCTTTCCGCTTGATTTCCTCACTACTACCGGCGTTGCTTAGAGCTGTCGGATTCGAGTGCACGTGATTAGTTCGCTCCTCGAAATCGCCTTTTTCAAATCGCAGCAACGGCGGCGACGACGACAGCGCTGAATGTGCATCCAGGGGAACTCACACGGATTAGTATCTAGGCAGTTGCGTTGCCAGTTTCACGAAACTGTCCGCTTTGCTTCTCATCTACGAAATCGATGATGACGAGACTTCCGCCACTTATTCATCCCACTTATTATTCCTGGCAGCTGATTGTCGTTGGTCCGAACGAGTCAGCATCTGTACGGCTCCAGCTCATCGAGCTTTTCTCGCGGGAACTAACCCTTCTTAGTGACAATGAGGCTTTCCTCTACAAGCTGAAATACCTACTAACTGTCACTTCGAATTTTAGTGCACGTTCTGAAGCTTAAAACGGCTCTAGGCTCGCCCCTTCTGTTGGGTTGGGACATGATATTATAGCGGTTGCATTCGGCGGAAAATTTTGAAGGGAAATCTGAAAGCAAAGTAAAGCATGGATGTAATCAGTGATAATCTCCTTGTCAACATTGATTCCATTTCGATGTAAATCAGCGGATTTAAAATTTAGAGAACTGTTTTCGGAGTCCTCATTATTCTCGATTTGCGCCACGTGAATTGGATCAAAATGGGGGGGGGGCGAAAGAGGTGGGGTGGATCGGATGAGGGACACGGCTCGAAAGAATATGGATTCTGAAAAACCCCGTTTCAGCAGGTTTTTTTTTTGTTCAATTAGATATTCTGCCGTCTAAATTTTCTAACTTCTAAGCACCACATCTAAGTACAGTTTTAATATTGAAATAGAGATTCTGCCGTCTAAAATTCAAAATAGATATTCCGCCGTCTAGATTTGCTAAAGAAGAATTTAATATTGTAGAATTTAATATCGAAGACAACGTCAAACAATGTGTTGTAGAGCGGAAGAAGTCTCTTCAAATGGTGTATGTGGTTTCCCGAGTTATACTTGCATTCAATGAATTTGTATGCTCGTAGAAAAGCGCTACGATATTATCAATCCCAATATTTGATCATCTGTACAGTTATATGGTTGTCTTTGGGCAGTTTTCTTGAACTACTAGAAGAGCCTTTCTCAACCCACTACTCCTCACAACCACGGAAATAATCTCGGCTGAGCGCTTCCTTCCCGTCGAATCAGCTAAATCACCAGTACGGTGGAAATTCGATATCGAAATCGGAGCACTTTACAACCGACCTCTTATCATGAACTTCCTGGGATATTTGGAATTTTTTTTTTCGGTCTAGCTCTGGTGGCGAAGATGTGATAAATGGCTCAGTTGCCACAGGAGCTCTGGAGATCTGATCCTGCATCGATTTCGGCCACTACGACGAAAGCTCAGTACGGCCCTCTTCGACCTCTCAATGGTTCCAGGGCAAGCTCCGGGACCAGGCCTATCAGTGAAAACCAGTGTTTAACGTACAACTGGGACAGAAGTGACGTCTCTTACAAGAGCCATCCCTTATCTTTATCGGGAACGCGTCCATCAGTCGGATTCACGGCGCATCCCAGGAAAAAATATTCATCAAAATTTTCTCTTTTTTCAGTTCTCTCCCTTTGCCTTTTTTCATTCCTAGTTTTCTTTTTATGTTTAGCGTGTTGCGTATGGTCAAAAGCGTGTGCACTTTCATCTATTCATAACTTTGTCACACAATTGATTATGCATCGGCAAGTGGATTTCTTCCAACAGTTGTGCGTTCGCACTTTGCGGCTCCTTTGCGATTTTCTGCGGTTTCCCGGCCACTTCTCGTCCGATCTAATCCGTTCGTTGCTGTTTCTGTAATCGCTTCGAGAATCTCTGCGGCTTTTTGCAGACGCTTGTCGCTAAACAATCTCCATGTTGAACGTCTAATATGCGACAATCGAGCTTATTTCCTCTGCTATTACATTTTTTCTACTTATTAACACTTGGTGAGTTTTCCACGGCCAATTTTTACTTTTTGTCCACTTGTTTTCTTTTTTTTTTGAAGTTTTACCTGATTTTAACGGCTTTTAGACTCTCGTTTTTCTTTTTCTTTTTTTTATAATCATTTCCTCTTTCTCAATAGAATTTCTTCATATTTTGCCTACTCTATGACTCAGAGGCGTCCTTAATATGGCCCCAAAAAAAGTTTAGTTGTCATACATCCACATAAGTAGTAAATAAAGAATGACGCTAGCTTTTTTCACCCCTTCGGAGCTTACGGACAAGATCGATTCCGCTACGATTAGGGGCTTCAGCGAAGCCTGGAGTGTTTTTATGATTGTTCCCTCATAATTCCTGCACGTCCAAAACCAATACTACTATACTCTTTATGACTAATATTATGCGGGATGAGCTCTTTGGCTTTTTCTCCACAATAAAAAAAGATCGCGAAAAATAGAAAAAGTACTTGACAGTAAGCTTTCAACTAAGTAGTGGAGGTATAATGAAAAAATGTTCTCAGCGAGCTTGGGAACTAAACAAAGATCGGTTTGGTTTCGTGAGGACTCACCTCTTTTGAAAAACTGTAAAAATTGAACTTCAGCCTATCTCTTCGTAGAGCCTCGGCGTTGTTATAATTATTATAATATTATAATATTCTTTTGCAGACCGGGTCTTCAGATGGAAAGTTTAATATAGTTCAATTATTCAACCAACTAATTTGTTTATTGTAATTTATTTATTAACTTGATCAATTGAGAAAAAAATTACAAAAAGGCGGCTGATGAAGTTTCCAACTAAAAACTTCGCTGACAGAATAATAATATTATGTAAAAAAGTATTCATTATTCCTTACTTCCTTTACCCTTTTATATTCTTATTTTATCTTTTTTCTTTCATTTATTCTTACTTTATAGGAGAATGTTATGGCAGGGAAAGGCACAGAGATCTTGATAATTGAAGCTCTTTTCACTTGAGAACGCTTGCGGGATTGCTTGGCAGATGGAGGGATCATGATGATTAATCCCTATTACCAATCATTTCCCTAACATGGAGGCAAACGGGTGCAAGTGTCGAATGGTGGAG